TACTATATATATATATATATATATATATATATATATATATATATATATATATATATATATATCAACGTAGATCGTGATACATTAGTTGACTTAATTCATTCTTGTTAAAAAATTTAAATTCTAATTATAAATGTGATAAATAATCATTGCTCCAAATCTTCTATTCAAATTTAAATATTTTAGAGTTTTTATACAAAATTAATACTGAACTATATATAATATTGTTCAAAGATTCTCTGAATTTTGTAGTTATATTACTAATCCAAAATTTTACTATTTTAAAGAGGGGATATTATGCTAGTGTTTGGCCATATATTTATAAATATTTTTGGTAAATATTATTTGGGAGAAAATTTGATCATAATATTTGGAAAATATATTTTATTTTTTATAAAAATATGATTTACACCCATAAGTTTTAAAAACTACAAAAACTAATCATAAGTTTGTATTACAAGTCAATTGAGTTTTCGTTACAACAAATAACAAGTAGTGTCCATGACACTAGAGCAATGTGGTAATTTTAATTGAGTGCAACAAGCATCATTCCATACATCGTGAAGTAGATATAAAACCTGACTTTGTTACCCTGAGCTGATTGTTCATCATTTTCATCAACAATCATATTATCACTTCATATTTTACTTAATATTTTTCACCTAAAAATTATATAATACAACACAAACAACTATTATAGAAGATATTTTTATAAAAGATGAAAATTTGATGTAAATTTCAAATTTTAAAAAATCACAAATAATGAGATTTGATTCAAATATTAGAAAAATTAATATTTTAAAATTTGAAATATGTATCAAATAATAGAACATTATATGGACAAATATTATTTACTAAATTTTTTTCAATTAATATTTAAAAATTCTACGATCAAACAAGTCCCGTAAAATCTATGGTCAAACAAGCCCTATGACTTATTTCAGAGTTTTAAGGAATGAACAAAAACAATGTATATATTCACATATAGCAATATGAAGAAGCTATATAAAGTACACCTGTTTTTTATTTAAAGTACCTTTTTTCAAAAAGAATTGAAGTGTTTTGATTATTGTATTCTTAAATATTATCTTTAATTATATAAATTTACGTGTATTTAAGTAATTTCAAATTTATATATCTCGAGATACATATACATATTAAAATTTGATAAAATATATAATATTATAAATTAGCATATTTCTTAGTAATTAACATCTAAACTAATAGAATTAATTTTTCAAAATCTAAAATAATCCGATCCGACCCGATCGATAACCGAAATAAACCTTCTTTCACTTTCTTTATTTTTCATGATTTTTTTTTCTATAAATACACTTCTATTTTTTTTCTTTTACCAACATAGAATAGTCTTTTAATAGTACATACTACTGTTTGTTTTTTTTTTACCTCCCTTTTATGGTTGCTTCTTTTTAGTAAAAAAAAATTATTAAGGCTATGTAGCGTAAGCTATACATAAAGCTATGAAGTGAAAGTTGGGACTTTCTAGATTTGTTACTGTTGTTGTGATTTTATACTTACTATATCTATATCAAGTCACTCAAAAACATCTTTTACACAGATATTCTCTTTTTCTCTCTGCCAAACACACAATGTATAGACTTGTAGAGTAGTGTCATAAGTTATGCTTCGAAGGTTCGTTTGGTACGAGGGATGAGAAATAATTAAATCGAGTGTGATTAGATTTCAAGATGAGTTTATTTTATATCTATTTGGATTGTAGTGTTATTTTTATCTCACATTTAGGATGAGATAACAATTACAAATTAGCTAATCACGAAATAACTTATTCTCTTACCAGACATAAATCCAGTGGCTCAAGTTATGCCCCAAAGCATAAGCTCCGTTAAGAGATATTTTACCTTTTTTGTTAAAAAGAGATGATTGATGTGCCTTTCGAATTTTTTGATAATTTTTTTTTGCGCTTTTAACTTCGAACTCAGAAATAATTTGTGCCTTGGGACTTAATTTCTTTTGCATTCAGACATAATTTGTGTCATTCATATATTTTGAAGTATAACTTATGTCTTGGGCTTAATTCTTCCGTGAGATACATAATTTGTGTCACTAAACCTATGTCTCGAGGCATAATTTGTGTAATTAAATTTATGTCTTGTTGCAAATCTTTTTATTTTGTTTTTTTGGTTGTCAAGGATATTTTAGTCATTTTTTTATAATTGAAACTCTTAGTGATCTAAATTAATAATCATCAATTTTGAAAGGTAAAAAATTAAGGAAAAATGACGGAAATCTCACATTAAATTCTCTTATTACCATTATCCCCTATTAGTTTTACAAATCTCTAAAATCTCTCATTTTCGCGCATCACATTAATGTATCTCGCGCATCTGATTAATGTATCTCATGTATACCAAGTATATAATGTATATCAAATTAGTGTATCATGTATAAAATGTAATGTATCTTACTTAATAATAAATATATCTCGCGCATCAGATTAATGTATAACCGCTTATACTATTGTATAAATTTGAGGGATTTCTATAATTATAAACTTATAAGGGATAAATTATGATTTTGTCTTTAAAGTATGTCATATCTGTTTTTTGCCCAAAAATTAAATATCATTCCAAAATAAGGATATTGTGTGTGTGATTCATAATTATCACAACCAGTCATTCAGTTAAAACTGGGCCCAATGATGGCTTAATCAACACTGACTAATAAATAAAGGTAATTTGTCTAAATTTCATTAGTTTAGAAGTTAATTGCTTAAATTTATGTTAGTTTGTAATATTATAAATTTTATCAAATTTTAGACTTCAAATACATGTATCTAGCGCATCCAAATACATCTATATACATTTATCTCAGACACATGAAGTCAAAATTAAGTGTAATTTGTTGAGAATATACAATAATCAAATGGATTAGCCTGTATTTGACTCACTTGCTCGTATATATCCTATGTTGCTCATCGCTCTCTTCTTTCGCTCACCTCTCTTTCCATAATTGGTATTGTATTTGAGGAATATTCACATCTGTACCTCTCTATATTTAGTGTGTGTGATGGTAAAAATACATGTATCTAGTTGTCATCTGATCGAAAATATGATTCCTCCCTTGGGACACAGGTATGCCAAAAGAGAAAAGAGACAGTGTAGCATAGGCTTATGCAATATGAAACGTGCACTTGCATGGCAAATCAAAACTCACACTACATAAAGTCATAAACAAGCTTCTTCTGCATACAGATTCCTACTTTCACTAAACAACAGAACTACCAAATATACAACAATTATTACTACAGTTCAACTACATCAAAACCAAACAATTGATATCTGCTACGAGTATCTTCTGTATCCATTTCCCTCCACTTGGACCTGCTCAATTACACTTTTAAAAAAGTGTAACACATATATCTATGCTTGGAATTAGCCATGTAAGCAAGCTAACAAGGCAGAGTTCAAATCACTTAATGATACACCAAGTTATCTGAAAACATCAAGAATTCAATCACCAAATAGAAACAATAGATTTTTATTTCTTACATTGCCAACAAATATTGATCTTGAATCCACCTCCTCGCGGTTTGCCTGGGATGCATCTGCATTAGCAGGATCTGAAAAATAAATGGTTCCGAAAACTATTAATCCATTTAAAAAAAAAACTTTTTTAACAAACTGGTACCATTAACTCAGAAAATAGAACTTCAACAATAATTAAGAAAAAATTTGTCCCTCAAACTTGGTTCAATTGCCAAAGGTTGAGGGACTTGTGACTAAAGTCACAGGTTCGAGCCTTGCACCAAGCGAACTACATCCGGTATTTATGGGCCCATATCCCCACATTTGAAGGACTGCGGTCCTAAGGGTGACTTCAGATGGATATCAGTGTTAAGTTATTGAAAATTTTAAGTCGACTAATCACACTTCACAACCAATTAAATGTATACTATTGGGCTTATTGACAATTCCCGGCTTACTGCAAGTTAAGTGGTACTACAACTGATAAACTAGTCTTTACAAAATATTGAATCTCTCGTTTCCATTATGTAATTTTTTACTCTCCAAAGACAAACAAAACTTGATCATTGTTCTGGTTAATGTTACTATGGCAAACTCTACCAGACGTTTCATCAGTTACTGTGGCAAACTCCACCAGAAAAGAAGCATCTTTTCATTGGCAATGGAATATGTTTACTTCTTCCCGGAGTAAAACACATAGGTTATAACATTCCTGAAAATTTGTGGCAGAGGTAAAATCCGCCTACACTACTCTCCCCACACCTCACTTGTGGGATTTCACTGTTAACCCCTAGTAAATTGCATCTTCCAAGGGGCGTAAGGTGTTTGGCCATGATTTTTCAAACTTTCTCCGGAGTTGGAACTCCAGAAAACACATTCGGCCATAAATTGATATTGACATGAGGTAAGGAATCGAAGAAAATGTATTTCCCACCACATATGATCTTTCTCGAGTGAAAATCTAGAAGAAGAAAAAAAACATACAAGTATAAATAACCAAATTATTATTTTATTTGATGGACTAGATCAATCAATAAAATCTAACTAAAATATTAGTTCGAACTTTAAGACATCAGACATTTTTAATCGATATAAGTCTATACAATACAAATTTAGATGTATGAGTCAATAAGTTTCATATATCAAACGATTAAATCGAGCAAAAAAAATACCTGCTAGAGTATCAAGAAGAGTTGATTTGCCACAACCAGAAGGAGCCATAATTGCTAAAACTTCACCAGGTTGTACATAACCAGTAAGCCCTTGCAAAATAGTTCTCCTCCCACTTTTTTTATCAGGCACAGTTACCCATAAATCTTTCCATGTTAAATAAATTCCTTCATTAATCAACTTTTCACTCAAAGCCACATCATCATCATAACCAAAATTAGTACTATTACTAATCATAGGATTAGTAACATTAATTTGTTTAGGTGCCTCATAATAATTTTCCATCTCTATTGACCTTTTGATTTCAGAATTAACCCTTAGAGATGGTGCTTCAATGGAACCAATATTTTAGTATCATATTTAATATCATAAAATTTAAAAAAAATATTTTAATGTATTTATTTAAGAATCAAATTTTTTAATTTCATAATAAATTAATATTGATCAAATAAATTAAAACGGAGAAAATGTTTTATATAATTTGACCTATTTATTTAATATTTACCCAAGTGGTAAGGCTAATTGGATTTTTTTTCTGGATAATTGTGTGAACTGGAAATCGCTTAGTATCTTCATTTTATTTTATTTTTAACCATTTGTTAGTTTCTTACTTTTTAGTTGTAATTAGTTGTTCGATAGCAGCATGAGATATGTGGTGTAATAATTAAAATATTTTTGCCTTTAATAATTAGAGATTTTTGTTTATTGGAAAAATGGTATAGTGGAATTTGTGTCGAGGTTAAAAATATGTATCTTAATTTAATTTGTTAAATTTAATTATTAGCGGTTAAATATGGTGTTCAAGAGAACTAAATGAAAGCAAATAATTAAAGTAAAGAAAGTCGTATAAAGTAGTAAAATTTGTTGTTTAAAAGTATGCTCTAAATCCAAGGATGTATGTGATTTTTGACTGATCTCAAATTTGAGAACGTTAATATAAAAATGCTTCAAAATATATATTATAATATCAATATATATCGTTGTAATAAAATTATTTTATTCATAATCAGACATCTTAAAATATTACTTAATTGATCTGATGTACTGATTTTGTTATGAATTTAAATAATTCAAAATTTCTCATTGAAAAGTCTTGATGCCATGATAAGAAAGCAGTGTTGAATCCGCAAATCTAGCCAGGATTTGACTTTCATTAAAATATAATAATAATAATTAATAGATAAAGTGAAAAATAAAACTAAAACACACACAAATACTGCAAGGTTCTTCTAGAGCCAAACATGTTTGACCGTAATTGAAAAATATGTTTTTTTTTCTTTTAGATGTTTTTGTATATTTTTTTTCTCCCTTTAGACGAGGGTCTATTGGAAACATCGTTATTTTCTTAGGTAAGTATCAAGTTTATGCGTACTATGCTTTTCTAAATCTTATTTTGTAAAATTATATTAGATTTGTTAATTAATATACGAATGCACGTTATTAAAAAAAATAGTTTTTAGTGATAATAAATTATTCGTAGTTAAATATTTATTTTTAATGACAATTAACACTTTTAAAAAATGTTACTAAAATTTATAACGATATTAAATTTAATGACATTTAACTAATAGTGATAACAACTTTATTACTCTTAATCAATATGTATATATGAGCAAGAGGCTTGGTCCAAATCCTTCTCTCTATTCTTTTAAAAATATATATAAGATGAAAAAAAACTTCCACATTACTTACAAACGCGTAAATACAATTGAAAATTATAAATACAAGTAAGAATGATCTAGTGGTAAAATTTTTCAATGTCAATGTTATAATATAAGTACGTTATATTATAGGAAAATAGCCGATTAAATAATACAAGGCAGCTTGGTCAAATTTTTTTGAATTCTGATATAATCTGCGGTTGCTATTATTTTTGTCCTTCGAAATACAATATACTCGACTTAAAAGACGTTAAAAGGAAATTAATAATCATCCGTGGATAACCATTCTTCAAACCGACTCTGCTATATCGAAAGATAGCTTGGTCAAGTTGACCCCACAAAATACATGCATTCATTGATTTAATACCACAAAAGGTAGAGGAAAAGAAAGAAGTGAAAGGTTGAATTGACTCAAGTAATTAATCAAACTTGTATTAATGCATTAAAAAGCATGAAATATATTATGCAAAACTAATTTATTAAACAGTAAACACACAATAATATTGAAAAAGAACTTGGCATGTTTAGAATGTGACTAGGTCAAAAATTGCATGCAATTAATAAAGATACATGTAATTACAATAACACTTGGAATATTTTTTTAAAAAGGTATTTTTCAAAGAATATATACATTTATTATATGAACATAAAATTCCACTATCCAGACGTTATTATTATATATTAATATGTTCTTTGGACTAATTCTCTCTCAAATGCATGTTTTGAAGTCAAATATTCACCATGAGAATTACTTAGGTTTAAAAAGATGATTATAATAAGTAAATGATCTCTTAGAATCAATTATAATTTGAAAAGAAAAAGATAATTATATGCAAATCTCGTATACGGGATTTTATACACAAATTTCTTCTTTATTTTTTCTAGCCAATATTAGTTATACACATATACCGTATGAATTATATTATATTTAGTTTAAGTAGTTCGATGAAAGATTATTTAAATAAATTCTTCTAATTTTTATATTTTACTGATGATATCCAAAGAAAATAGCTATATAACTACAAAAACATTCGAAATAAGTCAAAAATCTATCATTCTATATTACTGGTCAAGAGTTTAAATTTTATATTGTTTAACTTAATTTTACCAGATTTTGACATCCATAGGTTAGACTTTTAATTAAAATATACTCATACGTGGATGTTGAAAGGGTAAAATCAAATATATTTTTCTTGAAATACATTGGTCCACCCATTTCTTGAATATAATCCCTTTCTTATAGTTATTTAAAAAAATAATGACTCCAAATTCTACGGTGTACAATTCTTTTTTGGGCAACTTTCACATTTAGCAAATAAAAAATTTATATTTGTATGTTATAACAAAGTTTGCATAATTGTGCTCCATAGCAAATATAGAAACTGTATAATTCGCTATACATATACATTTGAAGCAAATTGTATAAAACGAAGTGTATAAAACAAGAAAGAGAAAGACACTTGGGCAGAGAACTGTATAAAAACGAAGAGTATAAAATGAATTATATTATTATAAGTGTATAGAACGATTATATACAATTTGAATTTGTATAAAATGAGAAAGACAAAAGAGACTTGACAAGGAATATACAATTGAATTGAATTGAATAAAACGAGAAAGAGAGAAATTAATACGATTTGAAAATTGTTTAAAACGAGAAAGACAGAAAGGCAAAAAAAACTGGGCAGGGGAGTATTTTTTATTGTATAATTATAAGTATATAGGATGAAAATATATGTACTTGCATGTGTATATACAATTTTCTCACGCTTTATACAAACAGAAATGCAATTTATATATTTCGCTTCTGTTTGTATAAGTGAGAAAGGCGAGGGTGGCGAGCAAGATTTGGGAGAGTGGCGAGCGAGATCTGGAAGAGAAGAGAGAGGGGAACAAAAATATATGTATTTATATAACTTTCTATGCTTTATACAATTAAAAATAATTTGTATACACTTGTGTTTGTATAAAAAGTGAGGAAGCGAGCGAGAGATTGGAGGAAAGTGGCGAGCGAGATATTTGGGAGAGAGGCGTCTGGTAATTTTTTTGCAAACGTTTGTTATGGAGCACAATTAAATCAAATCCTAAGTACTCCATTTATTTTAAGTTATTAATTTGCTATTGCGAATTTGAAATATTTTGTATATCAAACGGATATTTTCATAACTTCATACATTAAAAAAGACCGGCCGGCTATTTCAATTTATTTAAGCTTATAATGGCATTATCATGGTAGCACTTTGAGGCCATATTTTATAATAAATTTTATTCCTTGAAGAAGGATCAAGTCTTCAAACGATACAATCAATTTAAATTATAGCGAAATGATTCGAAATTTCTCAATTTTTAATTATATATCTCAAATTTAAACTTTTGAAAAATAATTTATTTTATTGATAGGATAGTCCTCAGGAATAAGCCCCATAATGCATGAACTTAATCAAATTTTAATAAGGATAAAAGATATTGAACGTAAAAAAAAAAAAACTCAAACAAAGTCTACTTTGTTTTAGGATTTGGCGTAATTATCTAATTAATTGGGTTAAGGGGGTGGAATTGTTTAAACAATGAATACAAAAAGACAAAAAATATTTCTACTTGATGGCTTGCTAAATTTTAGTTTTAAACTAAGAAAAATTTAACTTTTTATTACTGGTGATATTAACTTATGATTTCCTTGCTCGTAGTTATTTATTATAATTATTGATCATTTCATTGTTCAATCATTACATTATAATTTATATTTTACTCTATATTTAGCGATAATTTTGTTATGCTTAGTAAGTAACATTATTTTATTTCATTCAAAACAATTGACTAATTCAAAGTATCCAAACAAAACGGTTATTATATTTGTTAAATGCATCAAATCAAATGGTCTTTTTTCATCTATTCATACAATTACAAACCAAGCATGCATCATGATGTGACACAATATTCTTAATATTACTATTATAATTTTAAAATCGTAATTTTTTTAAATTTGCTTTTTACATATATTTGCTTTTAAGATCTTTAATTATTCGATAAAAAATAATTACAATTACCAACTACTTGAATAAATATTCATTATATATATATATAAATTATTAATTATTATTTTGATCAACAATTATTCCGAATATATTTTTTTATAAAGACAAAAGTCTTAATCTCTTTGTCATATAAATTAACAAAACGTCATTGGTATGTCCCTTAAATATTGATCCCATCAAGACCAAGTCAAAAGTCAATACTAATGAGAAAAGATACCCATGATAAGCCTCTAATATATGAGTAATAATTAATCAAAGTGCTAACAAATATTTAATTAAAATAAAGTAAGTAACAATATAAATATAACTTACCTCTAACCTAGATACACTGTTTTCAAAATTTCATGTATACTTCCACCTTCCTTCAGTCATTCCGTATTAAAAAATTACTATTTTTCGTTATAAAATATTTAACGATTATATTTTTAAAAAAATCGATTGAAATTATTGAAAAAAAATAAAATATCAGTATTGTTTTCACATTAAAAAACTAGAAAAATTTATTAAGATTTTAATGAGAATTTGTTTCTCTAGGCCTAACATATATTTTCCAATCAGCTGGCTCGGTGAGAATAAAGTGAAAAAAAAAATATATTTTATAATATAAATTTCTCATTGATTTGCAGTAAGAAAATTAATCATGATTTCTAATGGTGATCCTTTGATTATCAT